TGGGAGAAGGGGGAAGGCTGTGCCCTCACCCTGAGCCTATGTCTAGGTTCCTTGTTTATGGTAGGGTGTGGTGGGGATCCCTGTGCCACCCTGAAAGGGGTCTGAGATTCCTGGGCTGGTTTGTGACACGTGCTGAGATTTCCAACGTGATGGTGGTGAAGACAGGAGGAAAATCACCCCAGCCACCAGAGGCCCTACAGGAAATAGAGGGTTTTCTCGGAGCCTAGATAGGAGAAGCATGGGCAGGTTAGTGAAAAAGCAAGTGGTGGGGAAGCACAGGGAACAAGTGCAAAGGCCCAGGGGTAAGAAAGAGCTTGACATGTTTGAGGAACTGAAAGGAGCCCAGGGTGACTAAAGCAGGGAAAATGATGTGGAGGAAGGAAGAGAAGCAGGTTGGGACTCGGCTACACAGGGCTCAGGTTAGTGAAAAAGCAAGTGGTGGGGTCACTAGGGTAGCAGGAAGTCGTCCTAACCCTAGGTTGAAAGGGGCAAGGTGTGGGAATGGTGTTCCTGAAGCCCAGGAAGAGGTGGAGCTAGGGCAGAAATGTCTGGACAGGAGCTGTGGCAGTTGAGGAACCCAACCATGGCACAGAGCAGACAGGAAGGGCAGGAACGCACGGGAAGGTATGGGCATGTGCGCTCATCCATGCATCTCACCTTCCAGCTCCATATCTTTTGCTTATACTTGTCAGTGGCCAAACTCAACTAGAAGACAGGGGATGGGGCGCCCTGGGAAAGCAGCCTGTGTCCATCAGCTTGGTGCATGGGGCAGGGCAGAGAAGGGTGGAGAGAGGGCTGGGGCAGATACAGGAGATACTCAGCACACAGGCTTACTCTCATGTACCCTCTGGATCAGACTATAGGAGGTAGGACATGGTTTATAGATGCAAAGAATTGTGGAATGTGAGCACTGGAAGAGCCTGCAGGGTTCTGCCCATAATTTCCCTTTACTCTGCAGAAGAGGATCCTGAGAAAGGAAAATGACTGGTTTAAGGTCCCAGCAGCTTGATGGACTTCTAATCTGAGAGCTACTGTCAGTGAGCTGAGTCTACTTGCTGTTGCAACTGCTCGAAGACATCAGGATATATTTTTATTGGCCCCAGAGAGTTGCCTCAAATGATTGCTCCTCGAAGTACTAAGACTAGGGTGGGCTGTATGGGCTCTGGAGTATGGGCTCTGGAGTCGGTTTCATGGGGTGGACTTGCAGCTCTGCCCTTACCAAGAGATCGTGAACATCAAATTTCTTAGCTTTCTGTGCCTCACTTTGCTCAACTATAAAATAGGGAAAATGCTATGTTTATAGCAGCACTATTTACAATAGCTAAGCTTTGGAAACAGCCCAAATGCCCAAAAATAGATGAATGGATCAAGAAGATGTGGTACATATATACCATGGAATATTACTCAGCATTCAAAAAAGATAAACACATGCAATTTGCAGCAACATGGATGGCGCTGGAAGGGATCATGCTCAGCGAAATAAGCCAAAAAGAAAAAGAAAAATACCAGATGGTCTCACTCATAGCAGGAATCTAGAAAACTTAAGGGACCAGGAAAATGAATATAAGAAAGTGAAAATCAAAATCAACAAAAAACTATGAACCAGAGACACTTTTTGGGGGTGGGGGGCGGGAGAGGAGGGATTGGGGTCAGAATGGGGGGTTTGCAATTGTATGGGGGAATATAAAAATAAAATTTATTATTTAAAAAAAAATAAAATAGGGAAAATGATGACACCTATTTCATATTTCATGAGAATTATATGAGAAAACATATTCAAAGCACTTAGATAAGCATCTGGCATTTTTTATTGTGTATGTATATATGTAGTCAAATAATTATATAAATGAGGAATGATAGCACATATATATGTAAATATGTAAATATGATACCATATTTATTTGCATATATAAATAGATATATCTCAGAAGTTCATTTAAACTGTGGGGAAGAATTCATATGGCTTTTACCCCTATGCCCGTTTAAGAACTGCAATGACTTCCTAGCCCACTTCACTAAAATCCAATCTGATGAGCCCTCTAAGGCCCTGTGTAGCCGAGTCCCAACCTGCTTCTCTTCCTTCCTCCACATCATTTTCTCTGCTTTAGTCACACTGGGTTCCTTCAGTTCCTCAAACATGTCAAGCTCTTTCTTACCCCTGGGCCTTTGCACTTGTTCCCTGTGCTTGGAACATTCTTCCTGTTCTTCCCAAGGCCGGGTGGCTTTTCTTCTTCTATCAGGTTGCAGCTTCCCTGGAGAGGGCTCTCTGGTCTCTGTCTAGTTACTCTTTGCCACCCTCCAGCTCTGCCTACTTCTTTCCTTCACAGGGTTTATTACATCATGCAACTATCCTGTTATTGCTTTGCTTGTCTGTTAATGGTCTCCTCTTCCCCCACCCCAAGCAAATGACTCTCTTTAAGGGCAGGGATCTTACCTGTTTTGTTCACTGTTATATTTTTAGCACCTACTAGATACTCTGTGCCACTTACCATGGATTGAAATTCCTTCTCAGATGGAGTTTATGTTTTAGTAGAGGAGGCAGGTAAAGGCCATCAAGAAATTAATGATATAATTTGAAATATTGATGAGAACTATACTAAGTAAAGCAGTGGAAGGGGTGTAGAGAGTGCCTGAGGGAATGTGGAGAGGTGGAGGTGGTAAGATAAAGGTAATCAGGGAAGTCTTCTCTGGAGGAGTGATGCTGAACAGAGACTAGACTGCAGGGATAGAAGAGACCTTTGGTGAAAAGGAGGAATAGTAAGTGTAAGGGCTTCAAGATAGCAGCCAGTTTGTCAGACTGAAGAACAGGGAGGAAGTTGGTGTGACTGGAATAGAGTAAGAGAGGTGGACAGAAAAATGGGAAGTGAGGCTGTTACCAGGCAACCCCAATGTGAAATAGGTTGGCCTGAGTGTGAGTTCTCATCCACACACTTAAAAAAAGACTTATAATGAGACCAACTGCAGGCACACACACAAAAGGTTAGTAAAGGGCTTATTTACAAAAAGGAGAAATAAAGAGAGGAATAACACAGGGAGAAAGAAATACATTGGTGAATACATCCTACCAGTTCCAGGAACACGTTGAAGGCTGGCAAAAACCAACCTCCAAGGCCCACATGTCTGGTTATATACCAGGCCTGGCTGTTTAACTCCACCCTCCGTTCCCAGCATCCTCCCTTTGGTGGTGATGACATGATGGGATTTGCAGTCCTTGGTGCCTCAGATCTCTTTGGCCTAGAGTGGGGTGGAGCCCATAAAACCTGAGTTTGTGGAGTTCATTCAGGACATTCTGTCCCCCCAAGAGCTGGAGAGAGTAAAGCTGTACTCCTGAAATTATATAGTTTTGTAAACCAATGGTAAATAAATAAAATTTGATTAAAAATTAAATAGCTTTATGTCTTTTATTTTTCTTCTACCGTATCTTTATGCTTTTTCATATATTTTTTTTCCTGTGCCTGGGTTGCTACTCAGTACTATACTTGGGGAGCCCCCTATTCAACCTTTAATTCCCAGTCTACAAGTCAGTTCTTAGTTTACAGAATATCTCAAAATTTCCTGGGCAAACTAAATGTTCCCTTCTTTGTCTTCCTAAACCACTCGTTTATACCACTTTCATAATGTTTTTATGCCACCTGGAAATTATTTTCTTATCATAACACCTATAAATTTTAAACTTGAGGTGGGCTGTACTATTCAACTCTATACTACTGCTATTATTTCCTCCCAGTTTGTGGTTTATCTTTTTCTGTATGCCTTCCTATGAGAAGAAATTCTTAAATTTAACGCTGTCTAGAGTTATCAATGTCTTATTTACAGCTTGTGCCAATGTCATTTAAGAAAAACCCTACTTTGAGATGATAAGGATGTTTTCCTTTAAAAATCCTATTTTCCAAGCTACAGAGGGGGAGGGGAGCACAATGGACTCTAAGGGAGGATCATGAGCACCTTGGTGGGGGGTGGGTATGATGTGAAGATTTTTATCAAAAACAGATTATCTACATAATGCAATAAAAAATACAAAAGTGTGTTACAAAATGAAAAAAAATATTTTGCTTTTCGCCTTTAACATCTTTAATTTACCTGGAGTTATTTTTTTGTGTGTGGTAGGGGAGTTAGGGATCTAACAGAGAATTCACTGTTTCAATTCATACACTGAGTATTCTATCTTTCCCCACTGATCTAATTGCCAGCTTGGCACATATCAGAATTCCATATATGCCTGGATCTGTTTCTGGATTCTGTAGGCTGCATTCCCCAACCCCTACTTTAGTCTGTCCCTATACTCTACCACATGTTCTTAATTTTTACAGCTTTATAAAAAATGTCGATATAGAGAAGGAGAAGTCCGTGAACCATGTCACTCTCCCTGGAGAGTGTTTGGCTATGCCTTGCCCTTTTATTTGTTTGCAAATAAATTTTAGATTAGTTGGTGAGGGTCCAGAAGTCCTACCGGAAATTTGATAGCAATTGCATTGAATTGCTAGATGAACGCCCTTCTCACCGGTGTTCCCCTGGAAGTGGCTCAAGCGATGTAGGAGAGTCTGTAGAACGTCTCCAAAGCACAGCTTGAAAATTAACATTCGATAAATAGAAGTCAATCAATGAATGAAGATGAAGACCAACGATAACTAAGATTAATCAGCATATTCTTACCAGTCAGCAGCTCTCAGCAAATTTCTTCCTCCCTGTTTGTTCTAATACCCTAAAAACACACAAACCCACAACTCATCTTCCAGGGAAAACAAACCTATGACCTATTTGAAAATCCTCCTGAAAACAGGAAGACCCCGCGCCCCTAGACCAGACAAAGAAGCAAGGCCAAATGGCAGGTATTGGGGGACCCCCTCCGCCTCCCACCAAGGAGTGGTCCAGCGGGCCCCCGCGTCCCTCGGCCCGTGTCCCCGCGGGCGAGGGCACCAAGAACTACAAGTCCCGGCGCGCCGCGCGGCCTCTCGGCTCCGCCAGGCGCAAGCAGGGGGTGGAGATGAGCAAAGTTCCCTGCGAATCCGCGGCCAACCGGCAGCGGCGGGAAGTCGGCGCCGGGGCTCTGCTTCCCTTGGGGTGAGTAGGGGTTAGTCCCCCGGGAGGCGGGCGCAGAGCCGGGGCCCCAAGATCGCGCCTGGAGCGCGCCGGGGCGGGGGCAGCCAGTGCGCGCGCGCGGGGCTCCTGCCCTGTGCAGGCTGCTGCGGCCGCCGGAGCCGGGAGGGACCCCGGGCTGTGACCTTGTCACCCGGGCCCGGCGCGCGGCCACGAGGGTGGGGTGACCGGCAGGTCCCTCCCCTCTGCCGACGCGCCAGGCTGGCTCCGCAGGGGCGGCGGCGCGGGCCGGCGACCGATGGCGCAGTCCTGCGGGCAGGTAGCTCCCGAGCTGGTGACGGCAGCAGGTGCTCACCCCGACGTCCTCACCCCCCTCGGTCTTTGGGCGCAGGCGCCGGCGGCCGGGACTGGAGCGTGATGTGGGTGAGAGCCGCTGGCCGCGCGGAGGGCGCACCTGCCCTCTGAGTGCGCGCTACCTGCAGCACCTTGCAGGACCTGTGCTGCAGACTCGCACAATTAATTGGTGCTGCTGACAGCTTGAGTGTGCCGAGCAGGCTTTAGAAGACTCCCCAGATTAAGTGGCATTTATTTCCTGCGAATTAGGAAGTGTTTCAAGTCAAGAATTGATCGATCACCTCTGTGATGCTTGGCACATAGTGGATGCTCAGGAAGTAGTTGCCACGTTGAAGTGAATTAGTCTTTACCTGCTGTCACACGTTTTCTTTGAGCATTTTCTCATTGCCATGCCCTCAGACTTTAGTGTGCACGAGAATCACCTGGACGGCTGGCACAGACTACTGGACCCCAGTTTCTGCTTCAGTAGGGCTGGCATAGGGAGCAAAAATTTGTTTTGCTGACATACTTCTGCAGAGGTGGATGCTGCTGGACTGGGGACTCACTTTTGAGTGTCACTGTGTAATAGGGAAAAAAAAAGACTTGAAAGCACCAACGATTCACACCCAGGTATGGGCCTTTCTGCCACTTTGCCAATTTAACCTCCGTAACTGTAGTAAACATGTGCATATGACTTCTTCCTCTGCCACTCCGCCCCATATTACTTTATAGATGGATTTCCATGTAGTCCACACTTGGGTCATTTTTCCTGAGTTACACCATATATTATGTTATTTGCTTGGCTATTTCTCAACAGCCCTGGCGCATAAGAGATTTGATGTCCACTGGGAGAGTTTGCATAGTATTCCTCTCTGATAATATACTTATTTTTTTGTCGGACAAATGGCCTATGAAATCCCATAAAATGAAAATAGTGCTTGGTTCAGGCATCTATTCACCCCACCCTCCTGGGTTTAGACTTCCATGTCCGAGAGGCCCTAGTGACCCACTTTGAGGCTCAAGCTGCTTGATCTCCTTCAATCTTAGTTGGAGCACCTGTCCTCAAGTTCTGGCTGCATCACTTACGGTATCCCTGTGGAGTTTCTTACCTTTTCTGAAACTCCTGTCCTTATCTGTGGATGGGGCTCTAACAGTATGCACCTGGACTGTGCATTCCAGGCAAAGTCTGAGCAGGTTGGACTGTTCCTGTTCCCTTGGAAGTTGACTGACTTCTTTTACCTGTTGCCCACCCTTTGCACTTGGTTTTCCACTGTTCTCCCTGGATCACCCCCCTTTTTTTTTAAAGATTTATTTATTTATGCAAATAAGAACTGAGGTACAGGCCAGAGGTGTGGGGTAGGGGGTATGAGGATTCACCAGAGACAGAGCGGGGAACAGAACAGGAGGAATGACTGAAATACACTGCTGAGGGGAGTAGCGGGCGAGCCAGGAGAGGTCTGCTGTGCCCTGTGGGTTGCTCCTTGGCTGGCCGGGGATTGAACTCGTGCTGCAGAGTCTGCAGATTGCTTCATAGTGCGGTGCTTAACCCCTTGCGCCACCAGGGAGGCCCTCACTAAGATCCTCTTTTGCAGGATGAACAGAATGGAGAATTTCTGTTCCTTGCCTGAGTGAGATTTATTTCCCCCATTTACTCTGGGACCTGGGCATTAGCCAGAAATTCCTTTATTTAAACAATATTGATTCAAGCACTTTCTGGGCATCCAATGCTAGGAAAGGGAGCGTGATTACATTTGGATGCATACCTACCTGCGAGGTTGCCTGACTGTCCACTGCTCAGCCGACTCAGTGGGCCCTGGATGTTGGTTCAGCATCTTTCCAGACTTGAGATGTGATGGTATCATCCTCCTTGATTGCTTTATCCATGTCAGTAAGCCGGTTTTCCTGAAAACCAGAACTCTGAGAGTATTATATTGTTGGGTCTTTTCCAGTCTTGGGAGCAAACCAGAAGAAATAATACTCATAATAGTCTCTCCAGGAAATGGGAGGAGGCTGTGGTCACTATACGGGATTAATGACATTAGAGTCTTTTTTTTTTTTTTTGAAAGTTTTATTTATTTATGCATACAAGAACTGGGGTACAGGCCAAAGGTGTGGTGGGGGGAGTAAGAGGATTCACCAGAGACAGAATGGGGAGCAGAACAGGTGGAATCGCTGAAATACACTGCTGAGGGGAGCAGTGGGCAAGTCAGGAGAGGTCTGCTGCGCCATGTGGGCCACCTCCATGGTCGGGGATTGAACTCCTGCTGCAGTGGCTCCAGCTTCATAGGGCTGTGTCTTAACCCCTTGAGCCACCAGGGAGGCCCCATAATGGCATTAGAGTCTTAAGTGCCTTTCTTTGTGTCTATTCTTACCTGTGTACCAAGCTGGGCAAGGTGATTCTAGACTTATTGTCCCAGAATATGGCTTGGGGAGGGGTCCATGGAAGGTAACTGAAAAGGCCTAGCCACTTATTGGCCCCCATGAACATTAAGTACTTCCCTTGCTCTGCTGGGGGTGGATATTTCATTTGACCATCAACTTCCCAGACACTCCTGTTACCTGTTTCATATTCCGCCGGTGTGTTTCCTGTACTTCAGTGAGATGGATTCCATTGTTATCAATGATTTGACAATAACACAGCTCTCATAAACATTTCATAGAGACGGGCCCCAGTTATTACACTGTCATTTACCAGCGGAGCTGCCCAGGCCAGATCACTCACCCTTTCTGTTCCTTGGTTTCCTCATTTTGGGATTCCACCTGGGTGGTGTGGAATACCTGATGGGATGATGAATGCACAGGGCTTTGTAAAGGGTAGTTATTACTAAAATTATTATCTAATGGTGAGGTTACAGGGTCTTGGTGGCCTTAGCCCTCCCCGCCCCCCTACCACAGTGCTCTATCATGAGAGGTAACTCAGGTGAAAGTCAAAAAGGCAAGTAAACAGAAAAGGACAGGTGATTCATTAGCGGAGGGTTTAATAATGAAAGGTGTTTTTCTTCCACTGACATGTTTCACGGCTGACAGGGTCTTTTAAAAATCCCCCGAGGGAAGCAACTCATTTGCATGTTAAAGACTCACTGACACCTTATGGAAAACTCCAGCTCAGGTCTATTTAGACACAGTTGGGCTCCTATATCATCTATTTTATGTTTTTCAATTTCCACTTCTTTTATTACTGAGGACATTTGCATAGATACCGGGTTTTGGGAGTTGTGTCTGCTTCACTGCACTGCAGCTTCCTTACCTAGGGGTGGTCTTGAGGCAAGGGGTAGCCTCTTTGCCTACAGAGACAAGCCTGGAGAATGGTGCAACAGGAGGATGGGGTTCAGGGTGCAGCCACCAGGTGGACTGAGCTGTATGAAGAGGGCAGGAAGCCCACTGGTCCCACTGGTGGGGAAGGTAAGTTTGTTGAAACAGATCCAATGGGCAGGTGAACACAGAACCCCTTTGAAGCATCCTGCAGGAGTGTGTGTGGACAGCCCACTTCATGGTGTTTGCCCTTAAGCTTACAGTCTAGATGAGGGACAGTCTGTTCCCCCTGAAATGAAGATTTTGGAAATCATCCAGGCGTGGAGGGATTACCTGGCTGCTTTGACCGGCTGCTGTCTTGGCTGTGGCCTGACTACTTCTGACCTGGGCAGACAAGGCTCATGGCAGCTTCATAATATCGCAATATCTTGGTTGGCACCCATGGGTTGGGAGGTCCTAAAATAGCATCCTTGGTCACGTATTTGTCACCCTTCCTTTTATCCTCTTTGATGGTCTTCTTAGCACTTAATACCACCTGATATCCTAATATATTATGTATCGGTCTGTTATCTGTCATCCCTTCTAGAATGTCAGCACTATGTGGGCAAGAACTTTGTTTTGTTCCCTTTCTTCCCAGTGCCTAGAACTGTGCCAGGCACTGTTGGAGTGAGAATGACTTTGAGAGTTGACTTGTGCCAGACACTACGCTAAGCATTTTATATTCATAATCTCATTGTATACTAATAACTTTTGAGGTGAGTATCATCTGGTTTTACAGGTGAGGAAACTGAGGCACAGCCAAGCTATTGATAGGTAATCCAACCTATTAAATGGCAGAGCCTGGCTTTGAATGCTGGTCTGACCTCAGATCTCTTAACCGTTCCTCTTTCTTTGCTTTCCTTCTGTAGGATCTGGTGTCATGGCCAGAAGGGCTCTCAGACTTGCTTCATGGACCAGCATGGCCTTGCTGCCTCCGGCTTTTACCTCTACAGCAACAAGTACTTGGACCCTAGTGACTTTGGGGCCATCAGGGTGGGCAGAGCAGTAGCTACGGTAGGTTTTTTCATTGGGGGTGGCAGAGGAACTGCAGTATTACTTGCAGGTGTTCATACTTGTAGCAGGTGACACACTGTTGGAGATACACCCTTACATGAAGATCCCTCTACCTACTTGCACAGGTGTGGATGTGCACCCTCTTATACCTGTATTCCTCTGAGCATGACCTCTGCCATGTATTCCTGGAGTTAAACAGAGTCTATTGCCCTGGGTCTCCGTTCCAAAGCCATTACATTTTAGGTTCCAGGAAAACTTGGTCTCCCTCCAGTGAACTAGTGTGAATGATTCTAGCCAGGGCTCATACTAAGAACATGTGAGCTAGGAGAACTTTGGGGATCCCTTTGATCTCCATGCTGAGAATCTGAGTTGAATATTTGATGGGTGGATGTTTTCTCCAGCTGCTCATGAACATCATTTTTTGTGATCGTGTCATCTTCTGCTGAGAGCGACTCTCCCAGACATTCCTTTGAATCATCCTGTTGGATAAATTGCCACATGCTTCCTGCTTCTGTCTCCTTTGTGCTGCAGGATGAGCTCATCCTCCCTCCTTGATGTCGATATACTCTGACACATGGTCCATTTGGGTTGTTGTCTAACCATTTTCTTAGAACTTGGTGTCATCAGTTCTTCTCTCTAGCCTGGCTTAGTGGGGATACCTGCCCTTTTGTGTAAACTGAACCATAGAATGAAGACAAACCAATGCATAGACAGGCCATGGGACAGGAAAGAATTCCCATGCATTTACTGAGTGCCGTTTTTGGGCCCAGCTTTGTCTTATATTCTCTGAGCAGTAGAAATGAATTGATGGAGGCCAGGTTGGGCCAAAAGAGACAATCTGTGATTCAGTTGAGCACTACAATAGGACCCCAAACTTAGGAGTGAGCCCATGGATTGGAGGTCAGGATGGGTGCCTGGGGGAAGCAGGGTTTACTGGAATCTTAGGGATCTGAATAGTCAGAAAGGCAGAAAGGCAGGGGGAAAGTATTAACCAGACACCAGCCTGTGCTTTTTTTTTTTTTAAGGTTTATTTATGCACACAAGAACTTGGGTACAGGCCAGAGGTGTGTGTGGCGGGGTGAGAGGATTCACCAGAGACAGAGTGGAGAGCAGAACAGGCAGATTGACTGAAATACATTGCTGAGGGGAGTGGCAAGCGAGTCAGGAGAGGTCTGCTGTGCCATGTGGGTCACCTCCATCATGCTGCAGTGGCTGTGGATAGCTTCATAGGCTGCGTCTTAACCCCTTGCGCCACCAGGGAGGCCCCAGCCTGTGCATTCTTTAAAGGTCAGGGCTGTGGTCTCAGTCAGCCTGGTGCACCACTCAGTGACCAGCTCTTGGTTGGCCTCTGACAAGTCTATGTCAAATAGAATAAGGCTTTGGGGTGCAGACAAAGGAATAGACTCCTCTCAGTATCAGCCTTGTTGATGCAAACTCCCCTCAACTTCTAGTGGCCTCAGTTACTTAGCTCTACCAAGGCAGGTCCACACCTGCCAGTTAATGCAAAGGGTCCTCCATGCTTGAGTTATCTGGGAGCCTGTAATCTGATTCCCCAAGAAAAAGGGGACTTCTGTTGGGCCCAGAATCAAAGCTACGTATGAAATTATGTTGATTTGTGATACAGAGAGGTGGGAAAACTTATCCAGCAGCATTGATTCAACTATTTAGTATTTACTGAGCCTTTCCCTGTTTGCCTATAAAAGGTACTGGGTGTATGATGATAAACAGGAAGGACAATCCCTTATAAAGCTAAAATTCTAGCAAAGTGGAGTTCAGTCCATAAACAAGGAAAGAAATGAACAAGATAATTTTAGGTGGTGATTTGTTATGATAAATAATTGAGAGTTTTTGGTGGGTAGAAGCAACTTTAGATGGGGGCTTTCTGCAGAGGGTCCTTTGTGCAGAGCCCTGATTGACAGAAAGAACCCATCCAGGCTATGATCGGGGCAGGGCATCTTAGGGGTAGGACTGTACTTCTCCTGACATCCCGCCTGTGTCAGGAGTTTGCAGCTGAGGGCTTGGACAGAGGATTAATATTTAATGTCTGGCATTAAATCTTCTTTCTTAATTCACAGACAGCAGTCATCAGTTATGACTACCTTACCTCCCTGAGGAGTGTCCCCTACGGCTCAGAGGAGTACTTGCAGCTTCAATCCAAGGTAAATATGTGGGACTCGTCTGAGCCAGAGCAGGACTGGGTGAATCTGGAAGTGGCCACAAAGCCAGCCAGCTTCCTGTGTGCCTGTAGAAGTGGGCATGAAGCAGTGTGGTGGGGTCGGAGGCTGGAGCTTGGCAGGAAGAGGGAGGACCAACTTTTCCTTCACTGAGAGGTGTGTTAGTGCTGATGAGCCAGGGTGCCAGGCAGACATCAAGCTGGATCCCTTGGCACTGAGGTCATTCTGCAAGGTGCAGTATGTGTTTCTGGGGAACACAAGTGTCTGGGATGACTCAGAGGGGATTCCTGAGATACCTCAGCTCCTTTCCAAACTGCTCTATCAGGCAAAACCCAATTCAAAGAGGTTAATTGCTTTCCCATCCCCTGAAGGCAGGGTGTAGTGGTGAACCACACACTCTCTGTCTTCACTCGAAACAGGGTATTTGATTTTGATACTACAATGAGATGGCCTGGAGAATTGGGTCATCGAGCACAGGGTCTTTTTGTTGGACGTCAGTTGAATTTGGGGGTCAAGTATAGATACCTAACATTCCTCCAGAGAGAGACTTATTACAGATCTGCGTCCGTCTTTGCTCAGCATAGAATGCCCTTTGCCCCTTAGAAAATTCCTAGTGATCCTTCTGCTCTGCAGCTCAAACACCTCCCCTTTGTGATAGTCACCTTGTCAATCATCCAAGTTGGAATAATTCATAAAAAAATAAAATTTTTTTATTGTTTATATATATATTTTACCTTTTTTTTTTTTTTAACAATGTTTGCTTTCTTTTCTCAGGTGTAGTCCCCATAGAATTTCCATCACCAATTCACCATGCACCATTATCCATTTTAAAAATTTTATTTAAACTTTTCATTATTCGATCTTTGGCCATTAACAAAAATGGAGAAATAGTTTGATGAACCCCTATGGGAATGTCATTCAGCTTCAGAAATTATCGACACTTTGCCAAATCTTGTCTCATCTATTCCCTTCTTCATACACTCATTTCTTTATTATTATGTTTTGCTGAGATATTTAAATCTTAGGCATCATTTATTTTATCTATACATACTTCAGTATGTACCTCTGATAAGGGCCCTTAAACAAAATACATTACCAGGCTCATACCTAATAAAATTAATTGTAATTCCTTAATAACCATTAATAATTAGTCCATATTTCAATCTGTCTTTGCCCCAAAATGTCTTTTTACAGTTAGTTTGTTCAAATCTAGATCCAGACAAGGTACCTATATTCTGTCGTTTGGCTCCCATTTCCTAAATCTTTTAAAATCTGTAACATTTCCCCCTCCCCCATTTCTTTCTTTCTTTTTTAATAGCTATTTGCTTGTTGAAGAAACCAGATCATTTATCCTGTAGAGTTTTCCACATTCAGGATTTGGCTGATTGCATCCTCAAAGTGTCATTTAATGGGAAATAGATTCATATGGCACACTATTCAGAATATGTAATATTTGAACATACAAAATGATCCTTCCATCCCTGTCCCTCAGGTACCCAATTTTCTTGCCTGGAGGCGATCATTATTTCTTGTGTTTCCTTCCAGAGATAACTTCCTATTTGAATATAATCACTCTATCTTCTTTATTTCTGGCACAGATGGTAGTTGGTTATGTGTCTTTCTCTTCCTGTAGCCTATCAGTTCTTTTATATCGGGGATCAGATCTTTCTTTTTTGTATCTTCTTCCTTGAGCAGTGATGCCTAGGACTGAGTTGATTTAATGTCTGTTCAATGCCAGGCTGCACCCTGCTAATTCCTTGCCTTTGGAGAGGCCCTAGAAAGAATGTAAAATTTGTCATCAAAATAACCTTTTAGAGCTGCCATTTTCTTTGTTGTGGCCTGGAGATGGTTTTATTACTTACTGAGGAGTATGTAGCTAATATCTGAGACAGTGCCTTGTGAAATGTGAAAGTAGCTATCAAAAGCATGTATCAAGAATAAATCAGATGTGTACTAGAAGGTAATCTTTGTGAGGACAGAGACTTGGTCTGTGTTGTGTGCTTCCATGTCTGTAGCACTGACGACAGTACCCAGGATACACCAGAGATAACTTCCTCAGCAAGTAGGTCCTGGAAAACAGGTTTGTTGAATGCATAAATGAATGAATGAATGAAATGTTAGTTTGTAGTGAAGGACCTGAAACTTAATGCTCCCCTGCTCCACTTTTTCCATCTGCCCTCTGCAGAGCAGGCAGTGTTGGGTACATCGTGAAGTCAATTGTCCTTCATGTGTAAGTCATCTGAAAGGCAGCAGTGCCGCAGCTCCTGGAGAAGTTGACAACTTTGGGAGACTCTGTGAGGAAAGTGCAGACTGGCATTTGACAAGAGGGCAGCTTGTCGTGGCTGGCACCAGATAACAGGGTGGAGGCTGGTCCTTGGGAGTTACGCCTGGGGAGGGGAAGCCGGCTGGCACTGAAGAGCCCAAGTAAATACTGCAGGAGTGTGTTCTTCCATCAGAGCCCTTATCCGTTCTCGTCCTCCTCATGACTGATAAAGGAGTGAGTGAAGGGTAAAACATAATTATCTTACCTGTCAAGCCCGCATCCCCAGGTCCCAGAGTACACCAGCACCGGGAGATGAGCTTGGCAGGCAGCGATGTTGAGAAGACTTTCAAGGTTAGTGCTCAGCTGCCTGGGATCTCAGTGACTCAGCTCATCAGGAAGGGGTGGGAGCCAAGGTGAAGGAGCTAGCTCTGGGGGCCCAGAGGTACTTTGTTAGGCTGCTGAGGGAATGGGGCAGGACCCAGATGCTTTGACAAGCCAGACTCCTGGTGCTCAGGACGCTTGGAAACAGAGAAGATGTGTGTGACCTGGCCTGTCCATAAAGCAGTCATGGCTGGGACAGATGTCTAGGCAGTGGGCTAGGGGAGGCAGGACTGAGTTGATTCTCACCGAGGGGTTGGGGTATAGTGGACCTATACTAATTTTGCAGCTCAGGATCCATTCTTGTTTTGAGGAAGAGCATCCAAACTTCCCTTTGGGGAACCACATCCATCTCATGTATATACTATGAGATTTCAGTGGGACCCCGCCCACAGCTCCAAGGGTGGGAGTGTATGTGACGTAGGCCTTCAGTGGAGTCCACTCCTCTGGCTTAGAGATTGATTCAGGGATGGCCGGTGAGCACCAGTTCCAGGTCATTTGGGGGAATAATAGCTCTGTCTTTTCTACCTCATTAGCTGAGCTGCTGGCAGCCATCTTGCCACCATGAGGGGACAGCTCTCATGAGCCAGTATTGTGGAAAGATGTGTCCTTTCAGTTCATTGGTCTAGCTGAAGCTGAAGCTACACTGGACTTTTGAGTTACATGTGCCATGAACTTCTCTTTTTGGCTAAGTTGATTTTAGTTTGGTTTTCTGTTACTTGCAGCCAAATGTGCCCCAATACACTGGGGACTTTTGGAGAAGCATGCCAGATCTTACAGCATAATTAAGAGTTTTGTTAGGCCTCAGAAGAACCAGTAATTCAAGGGAAGACACGAAATCCAGAAATTCCAGGGTTAAAGAGAGTGAGGATGGCGTTGGGTGGTGCTGGGTAGAAATTGGGTCATTGTAAACTTGGAGCCAGGACCTCAGGTCTGCCACCACCAGCCTCAACTTCCTGTGTGCTAAGTGATGGCATTTATCCCAGCTGAGTTTGTAAGAATAGAGCTGAGAAGCTTAATTAAACACTGTGGATTCCTTAATCCAGGCAGAGAGGAGTTCCAAAGGCACAAGATTTTTCTAGATGGCTCTGGCTTGTTCAAGTTAATGATTTTCTATTTTCCTTGTTTCTACATTTGTTCATTGGAATTCTATAAGAAAAAGCTGTCCTATCTCCCTCAATTAAATGTTTTTATCAATATGAACTCATGGGTATTTATTTTATTTGCTAGGTTATAATCAAAGCAGTCATTATTTTTATTGCTCAAGTTTTTCCAGCGTTGGCCATTGGAAGCCCCTTAGGTTGATCCTGGATCTCCTTTTGCTATGTCCCTATTACTTTTTGAAGACCTTCTTCACTTTCTGGCACTCCCAGATTCATGTTGTATTTTCCTTGTCCCAACCCTGGAATCAATCACTTCTCCGAGGAGCCCTGGTTTCTTTTATTAGACAATGATATTGACAAACCAATATGTGTGTAGCTGCTGTAGATGCATATTGCTACTGGGGTGCCGTTGTTCCTCCCAGGAGACAGAACTGGGAAATATATGCATCCAAACTCACTCATGCCTGCACGTTTCTATCATCTACTTTTATCTATCTATCTGTCTGTCTGTCTGTCTATCTTAAAAAAAAAATGAGTTCATGCTGATATCTAATTCCAGTCTAACAGAGAGTTAAAATGTTTTAGCCTTTTCCTTATATGTAACTTATTTCTCAGACAGTTAGAAACCTGCCTCTTCTTGTCTATATTTACCTATCTGTTCAATCCTGGTATACCCCCAAATAGTTGATATCCCCAAGGCATATAGGAGCAGAGAGTGGCTTGAGATGGGCAAGGTTGAATGAATTAAGGGGGCATCTGAGCTGAATTTGGAAAGGTGGGTGAGTGTGAAACATGGACCATTGGGGACAAGGTGATTTTGCTGGAGGTTGATATACAATATTTTAGATATTGTAAGAAACAGAGGTGGGTTCAGTATTGTTGGGGACTAAGGTTTGTGTGAGTGAAGGGGCATGTTGGCAAATAGAATTAGAACTAGGTCTCAGATGGACTGAAAGCTAAGTTTTATACCATACACAGTAGGGAGCCGTGAGTAAAGTTTTATTAAGCCTTCAGGGAATGAGAATGCTTAAAATGATCAGTTACTGAATGTGTTTTGAGCTTTACTTTATTTCAGACAATGAGTGTATATGTGTGAGTGTGTGTGTGTGTGTGTGTGTGTGTGTGTGAGAGAGAGAGAGAGAGAGAGAGAGATACCACATATGACGTTTCCTTCTTTAATCAGAGTCCTAACGTAAGAGACCTTGGTTGCTCCTGTGCCTGGCATGTTTGTAGCTGAGTCC